TCATGACATAAGCATGCGAAACTTGGGCACTTAAAACATACTATATAAGGCAAATGGAGGTCGCACAACGCTCAATGGACCGATATTATATATCGATCATTATAAACCAAGAAAAACCATAAAAAAGAGAGTGGATACGACAAAAGACCCAGGTAATAAAGACAGTATGTTGGAAATGGTTGAATAAGCTAAAAATGATGATGATTTCTGGGGAAAGATAGCTAATATAACGCGATACATGCGGAACCAGTATTCCCACCACTGGTTCTGCCGTTCCTTTCTTAATTCGAAAATTAGAATACGGTGTTTTAGCAAAATAAAACACTAATTCACTACAATACACCAAAACACACCTTCTTTGAACACTGGACGCGCGTTTTGCTAACCATGTTAGCATCATCAGCAAATTCTTAAGACTAGTTTAAATCCTCTTCTGCTGATGCTGATATAGTTAGCGAAACAAGCGTCAAGTGTTAAAAATAGAGTGTTTTGGTGTATTGTGGTGAATTAAGGTTGATTCTCACTATACCTTCCGTATCTATTCCATATCCGTTCCGTATCTTTTATTGTATTGACTCTATACGTAAGCTTCCGTTCCGTATCAGTTCCATACATTTTATTTTGTACAATTTATTAGAATACGGTGTTTCAGCAAAATAAAAAGCAAAATAAAACACTAAATCACTACAATACACCAAAAAACACATCTTCTTTTAACACTGGACGCGCGTTTTGCTAACCATGTTAGCATCATCAGCAAATTATTAAAACTAGTTTAAATCCTCTTCTGCTGATGCTGTTATAGTTAGCGAAACATTACCGATTATGAAAGTTTCATTTTAAAAATTTGTATCTATTGAAAAAAGTAATAAATTTCATTAAAAGGCGAAGAATGAACAAATATCAGCGAAATTTTAACAGAGCTGGTACAAATGTAAGGACTTGAGAACGCAGTTTTCGATACGCATCAGTCAGTCCGCCAAAAAAATGTATAGAAGGAAAGAATATGGAACGGAAGGGAAACGGAACGGATAGTGTGCACTGTCCTATTAATTTATATGATATAATATTTTATGTAAACGGAAGGAAAATGGAAGGGAGCTTATATGGAAGGTATGTGAGAATCAACCTTTAGTGTTTTATTTTGCTGTTGTAACACGAAAGGTTGCAATCCCCATCTGTAGTTTATGGTGATTTAGACCAAACACTAAAAGTTTCATAATTTAAACAATTTTCTAAAACCAATCGGATCCATTGGTTAAAATACATGCAATTTATGATTATTATTAAATATTTTGTACTTTCGCCAAATATGAGAGTAAAGTATATTTAAATAATAAATATAAAACACAAGGTACTGCAATGTTTACTTGTTTTTCTGTGATAATTACGAAAAAAATTAAGCGAATTTTTATTTTTATGATTAAGATTGGCAGAGAATGAATACCTATGGACATTCTATTTTCAATTTGCTTTCAGGTTGAAACATTTGGGTTTCAGCGGTCAGTTACGGACCTACAGGAAATCATTATACGGCCGACGACATATTCAACGTTAATTAAACTGATGTTGCCGTGCAGATCGAAACGTTTTAATTTTAATAACGGGAAATATGAAAACCGAAACCGTAGCCAACCAATCTATTTTTGGCCAAGCGATCGATTTTTAAATATTAGATGAGCCGAAGTTATAATTCGTATTTTACTAGTAGTTTCCGATTAGTTTGTGATGTGTAAACTACTAATTTTTGTAAATTTTGGGTAAAAAAGTATTCGTTGCACAATAGATAATATTACAGTTGAGGGTTGGAACCTTTGGTGTGAACCACAGCAAAATAAAAACACTAAATCACCACAATACACCAAAACACTTTTACTTTTACACTGGACGCGCGTTTCGCTAACCATGTTAGCATCATCAACAGATGATTATAAACTAAAGTACAAAGAAGTGGAGGCTAAGAATCAGTTGAATTGGAGGCTAAGAATCAGTTTGAGTATTTTCCAAGAGTATGGTTTAGGTATGTGGATGATATTTTTGCTGTTTTTGACACACATTCAGGCACCATAGATAATTTTATTTCTAAGTTAAATAATCGTTTTCATTCCATTAAATTTACGCATGAAATTGAGAACAACGACAGATTACCATTTCTAGATGTATTAGTTATTAGAAATACTAATAATTGCCTGATCTATAGGAAAAATACGACCACACGCAGATATATTCCTAATGAATCACATCATAGTGTTGAACATAAAATGGCTAGTTTAAATTTCTTAGTTCATAGATTACTTTGTTTCCCACTTTCCAACGAAAGATATGAAATAGAAAGAGATTACATTAGGAATGTAGCTGAGTGTAATGGATATTCTCCTTCACTAGTTGATAAATTAATTAGAAAACGTAGGTATAGGTTAATGATTTCTGAAAATTCGACTTTTGAAGTGGAGAAAGATACGTCTAAATATTTTTCGATACCGTTTGATAGAGAGTTATCCCGTGGTCTAAAAAGAATTTTTAAGAATGTCAATTATAAACTTGTGTATAGTGCTAATAATAAATTACAACAATTATTAGGTAATCCAAAAGATAAAACACCTCCACTGGAAAGGTCGGGTATTTATGAAATTTCTTGTAAAGATTGTAATCAGAAATATGTTGGGCAAACTAAAAGATCAATATTAACTAGATTTAAAGAACATTTAGCTCAGATAAGATATGGTAGACCGGATAAATCTTGCGTAGCCGAACATATTGTTGATAAACAACATTGTATAGATCTTAATAATTTAAAATTAATTAAACACGTCTCAAATTACAGGCAATTAGATGCATATGAAAGTATCAGAATTAATAAATGTAAAGATAGTATGAACAGAGTCAACGGTCCAATTCCTTCAAGTTCTTTGTTCCTACTACTCTAGTGGCGGAAATCTAACTGTTACGCTCAGTGGGCTCTGACTCGGTTGGCTAGATTTTGCCACGCCCACTCGGTGCCCACTGAGCAAGTATATAAACGCTCAACATGTAGATTATACTTTAGTTTATAATCATCTGCTGATGATGCTAACATGGTTAGCGAAACGCGCGTCCAGTCTAAAAGTAAAAGTGTTTTGGTGTATTGTGGTGATTTAGTGTTTTTATTTTGCAATAGATAATAGTTATTTATACAAAATATAATTTCGTTTAGCACGTTCAGAATAGTTTTGAGGTTGGTGGACGCAGCGAATAACTGTGGGCATTATGGTGGGTCAAAAAAATTGACTACTTTTATTCACTTTATGCTCTGAAAAAAGGTTGGTAGACACCTCAAAAAAATTCTCTCTAAGTATGAGCTCTTAATTTTAACAGGAATGTTTCCGTCTTTCAGTTTTCTATTTTTTCTTATTTTTAGAAAGAAAAAATCATATCTCGGTGCCTACCATTTGGAAAAAATATATCACATATTTATAGAAAATTTAATTCTCTGCAAAAAAGGTTAAAATTATTGTGTATTGGAGTTTGACGATGAATATCTCTTAAACGGTTAATTTAATCAACTAACCATAAGAAACCTTTATCAAAGAAACTAAGCGCTGCCTGTTTTGCGCTAAGATCAGTTTCTAAGGAACTTAACTTATCAACCTCTAGAATAGGCCCTTTTTGAGTCGCATCTCCGTTACGCCCTTCCATTCTGGGGTACTTGCTGCGCAACAAAATTTGATCCTATTTTGAAACTTCAAAAGAGAGCAGTTCGATATTTATTGGGACTGAACAGTAGAACTCACTGCCAGAATTTCTTTAAAGAAAAGAAAAATTCAAAATACCGACTTTTCCTTCTTTATTCATTTTTGAATCCGTTTGCTTAATCCGCAAGCACATATCTGTTATTCCCGAAAGGCCATCTCACAACTATTCACTTAGGAATGCGGAGCACGATCTTTATCTGCCAACCCCGAGCTCAGAACTAGTTAAAGGCTCAATACTGTACAATCTGCCTTTGAATATCAAGTCACTTTGATTCTTTCCCGCATTTCGTAAAGCTCTGAATGGTGCTTGTCTGATATTTTTTATTATTTGTATATTTTTTGTGCTTTTGTGTGTTTTGTAAATGCTTTGTAGATGAAGCTATTTTGGCTTTTTGTACAATAAAACGTTATTTATTATTATAAACCATTTTTGTAGGGCACTAAATTTCCTACAAAACCATGTGTTGCGCGTATCGCAATAATTTTTTTAATTGTCAAGGACCTTTTGTGTAGAGAATTCAATTTTCTACAAATATATGAGTCGAATAGATACCAAATAGTAGATACCCAAATATAATTTTTTTCTTTCTAATAATAAGGAAAAATTAGAAAACTGAAGACTGAAGGGCCAAGAACCTTTCTATTAAAATTAAGAACCCATACTTGGAGAGAATTTTTTTGAGGTGTCTATCAACCTTTTTTTCAGAATATAAAGTGAAAAACAAAGTAATCGATTTTTTTGGCCCACCTTAATGAGCACACGTTCTCATTTAAACTTAACAGTATATTTATCCTTCCAGTAAAAGTGAAAGCTAGTTCTAGTTCTAGCCATTTTGCCCAAGCAAGGAATACAAACTTGAAAAATACTTTTTTTCGTTGAATTTTTCCCAAATTTTAATGAAATCTAGACAGAATTCGCTTCGAAAGTTTTAAAGGTAGTATATAGTCTTAAATAAGTGCAAATATTTTCAGGGCTCGTGGATCTCGATAAAAGAAACACATTTTCTCTTACCGTTTTTGAAATAAATCCAAAACAACAAAGTTATTTTACTTTAAAAATTAAAAAAAAAAGATTTTTTTGCTAAAATTTTGAGAACCACTAGATCTTTTCTGGATTATCTTTCTTGTAAATTTAATATATTACCTATGTTGCCATATTATCGACAAATTGTGTTTTCAAAAAACCTCATAGTCGCGTTTCTGGGGTTGAAATATGACCCTAAAATATTTTCACTTATTTAAGGCGCACCCTGTATATATTTTACTTACCACAACTAAATTCCACATTTTTGCAGCCTCGGCGACAGTGGTACACACTGTACTACATCCAGCCAGCAACATGAGCTTCGTAGGTTCGTTGTAAAGCAGGTTGTACATCACACTAGCGCCTAAGCCAGGTTCACACTGAAAAAAAGAACATTTTTATTAAAAAATTATAAGCCACATATTATGCACTTATAGGTTGGGATCTTAAGGTGCATACATATCTGACGAGACGAGCGCGAGACGATAGCGAGACGAGAGCGAGACAAGAGCGAGACGAGGGCGAGACACAAGACTGCGTGGGTTGTCTCGCGAGACCACTTAGCAAATTTGGAATGTCTCGCTCGCGTCTCGTCAGGTCTGTACGCACCTTTACAGAACAGAAAAATAATATTTTAATATTCTTTAATATACTGTTTATGCTTTTATTTAGATGTTCATGGGGGATTCTTTTGCATCTAGTATTTCATCACTTACTTATTTCTGTGAAAAAACTAGTTGACAAATTTAGAATAAGCAGTGTTCTCGGTACAATGGTGTTTCTTTCTAATAAGTGCGAATGACAATTGGTGATAATTTTGGCGAGGTTAATCTCTAGACGTTATTTACAAATTTGGCGTTTGATTTACATAACCTATTCTCCTCAAATTTGCCAAAATATTGCATCGGTTGGGCGCATCCGAGGTAATCACAATAAGAATATTTTTACACAACGTAGGTTCCTTTACTTCATTTAAATTATTTGCTATACAGTTGGCCAAAATATTACCTTTTCAACTTTGTTGAACGATCATGCGTTGTTATACTACCAGTATGTGACTTCTTCCTTAATCATTTTATTCAAAGTTTCAATCGATACCTTGTATACTTAGTGTATTTTCTCTACGGCATCATATTACAAAATAATACAAACATAGAAGTTGTTTAATAAGAATGTACAATATAAAATAATAAGAAGATTAACCATCTTTTAAAAATTAAGTCAAATCATTTCATTAAACTTTTCAAACAAAGAATGTAATACGGCATATAGCAAGACGTATCTACTTTTATTATCTAAGTTTATCTGCAACTAGCTACACATTTCATCCCAGTAAAAACAGAAGAAAATACGTAAACATCATGCCCCAAAAGTCGGATACTAGCGAAAAATAAAACGTAATTAAAACGTAAAAGTCTGGCGGAACATTTCAAATCCTGGCCAGGCAGCGGTATCTCGTTCCCATAATGAAACCGCTCTGAAACTAAAATTATGGCTGGCATTCGTTTCAGTTTTATTTTATCAAATCGTATTAGGTAGATATATAAAAAAGCTCGTGCATGATAAAAATAAAACATGTAAGCAAAGGTATATTGAACGTAGCAGTGGCGTGCAGTGCAAATCAAAGCAGGGTAGGCAAAAATTGGCAAAATAATAAAATAAGAGAATAGCATAAGTAGTCAATATAATTATTTTTTCTCTAAATCGAGGATGTTCTTTCATATTTGTTACTTCCTTAATCACTTTCTTACACATTGATTTTCTGATCGTTGCGGTCTGCAGAGTACGTGGAAGAGTTGCAAAAGGCGTAGAGACAATAGAGACAATATAAATCAAATCAATCCGCATTCGCGTAAATCATATGGACTGTCGCGCTGAGCATCAACTGAGACAAAATCGCGGTAGTGCCATTCACCAGAAAGCGAAGTCTGAAAAGCTTGAAAAGAATCCATCTTAGATGCAAAGGAAATACTGCCATCACAGGAAGTCAAATATCTAGGAATAACCCTAGAGAGTTAACATTACCAGCAAAGCCAGATGCTCTCATGATATACAGAAGACTGGCAGCAAATAGATAGAGCTGCGCCTCTAACATTACGTTAGATGTTATATACCATGATAGTAAGACCCGTGATTACCAGTGGAGCGGTTGCTTGGTACACAAAACTAGAGCAACGTACAGCAAGGCAAAACCTGTGCAAAGTACAGGGACTAGCATGCATCTCCACATCACAGGTGCCATGAAAACATGCCCAACAGCAGCAATGGAGGTCATCCTAGACCTAACACCACTGCATATTGTCGTCGGTAGTTATGCCAATGCGACAATGATTAGAACGGTTTCAGGTCAGGGGCTTGGAACACCCTCAAAAAGAAAATTCAACTTCTCCAACTCCCAGTGGATGACATACCACGAATTTACAACTTTGAGAAACACCTCACTGTAGTATTAAGTAATAGAAAGGATTGGAAGGAAGAAGCGTTTGCTCAGCATGTAAAAGACCATACCATAATGTGGTATACTGATGCTTCCAAAACCAAGGCAGGGACAGGGATAAGAGTATTTAGGCCGATAACTAAATACATACTCCGAATCAATGGGCACCTACCCCAGCATCCTTCAGGCAGAAATGTACGCTATCGCAAAAACAGGAAATAGCCATCTTATCCGACAGTCAAGGAGCACTAAACGCCATCAACTCAGTAACTATCAATTCGAAGTTGCTCAACGAATGCCTAGAACTGAACAAATTAGGCATAGAAAATAAAGTTCTCCTACTCTGGGTGTCCGCTCACCAAGGGATAGAAAACAATGAAGATACAATACAACAATAGAGGCTTTCAAACTTAAAGCGGAACTTAAGAATCTGGAAGATTCCATCCGTAACCTGGAATGGAAATCTTCCAACGGTCTAAGACACTCTAAGGAAGTTCTCAGAACTTACGACTGAGAAAAATCCATTATTTTCTTTGATTTCAGTAAGAACAATATTCGGATTGTCACGGGGTTTCTAACAGGACACATGTTTCTTTCAACGAACACCTCAGTAGATTGAAGCTGAAAAACAACGGCGAGTCCAGATTTTGTGAGGAAAATGGAGAAACACCAGAACATCTCATCTCTAAGTGCTAAGACGATAACCGTTCGTGCTATAAACTTTGGTACGGCTGATGTCGGAGATGGAGAGCTGGCTTCTGTGGAGCCGTCTTAGATACTGGCTTTTGTCAAAGCCCTGAGACTGTGTGATAAGTTGTGTCTTGTTATAACTCAAGAAAGAAGAACATACAATAGATATTTAAGGTCGCGGTGATGAACCTCCCTCCTAAACATTTTACATTACATTACAAAAAGTAGAATATATTATTGTTGTTTACTCTAAAATGGTAGAAAATATTTTTGATTTGGCATCACTGCGCTTGGCAGATGTCAACGCCGACGAAATTAAATCATCCGTTACTTCTTTAACCTATCTCTTTCTTGCGCATTAACCTAATAACAATACAAAACAATATAAAACAAATCAATCCGAATTCGCGTAAATCATATGGAGCGCTTTTATGGGAAGTACAATAGAATGACAATCAATGATAATTTTGGCGAGGTTAAGCCCTACACGTCATTACTTGTCCTTAGTTTTCTTTATTTTTAATGGCACTTACTGCCAGTTTGCCTTAAGAAAGTTATTTATTTATCAATTTATTTTTCAATTATTTTTGAATGGTGCAGTTTAAAATTCCAGAAAAACATTTTTTTTTGGAAATGAATTTATTAAACGTTCGATTAATTTTTAATTTTTCTATAATTAGTGTTAATTTTTGACAATTTTTAGTGACGTCTAGACATTGATCTCGCCAAAATTATTATCGATTGTCGTTGCCGAACCGTCTTTGACGCCGTTTTTTTTTCCGATCACAGATATCGTACCTATGGTAATCTCTAGAATAAAAATGAGATAAAACATGCTTACTGCATATCATGTGCTGGATTAGTAATGAGTTGTAATGTAATATGCAAAAAAAATCTCAGGGGTAGGCAACGCCCTCTTTGCCTATATTATATGCACGCCACTAGAACTTAGTTTGATTAATAGAACTGAAAAAGTTTAAATAGAGCTAGACGTAAGCTCTTTGTCATTATTACATATCTGATATTAATACTTTTTATATAAATATACCCGGTGAGAACAAAAATTATTACACAAACTGCCGTTTCATTGCTTTTTGTTGAAGAAATTTGAAATTATTTTTTTCAAATCACTATATTTTTCATTACTTTACTTACTTACTTTACTTACTTACTTACTGACATTACTCGCCGATGAGTATTTGACACGCATCAGACCATGATTACGCAAGGCGTTTTCTTTCATGAGCTTTTCTGTGACTGAAAAGCTCGATACATGATGTTATCTCTCTTCGGCACTCCGGACATTCAAAAATCTCATTACTGTGTTGCCTGTTGACTTTTTGGTTATCGTTAACTGAGTTTACAATTCTTCTCCATTGCATTCTATTGTGCGCTGCTTCCTCCCACTGATATTGCATGTTTATCCCCTTTAAGTTTTTATCGAAAATATCCTTGTAGATACCTTTTGAGTTGTCCACCCGGTTTCCTCTTACCATCTGCAAGCTCACCGTAAAGAAGAAATTTCGGTAGGCATTCTTGCATCCTATACGTGATCTGAAGCGGGATGTAGTAATCATGACTTCAGCGCGCACTCGCAGCTAGCTTTTTCAAGGACCGATATGTTTGAGAAACGTGTGCCGGCGGTATGGCACCCGGTATTCCACATAGCATGGATTATTATTGCTTGGTACATGCAAGTTTCGTTTTTGTGCTCAAATCATGATTATGGAAAACCCTGTCTTTTAATTTCCAGAATGCCCTTGAGGCACTGCTAATTCTGTGCTGAATTTCATTGCTGAGTCGGTATTGGGCTTTTCCGAAATCAAGCTACCGAGGTAATTGAATTCCGCTATATAATACAATAGTTATGTGCTGTTTTTTTATTCTAAATGTAATAAAACTTAATATTAGTACGACGTAAAACTAAATTTGAATGATTGAACCAACTAGATTTAACAAAAATAATAGGACTAGTCTATTTCAACCCATTCCATTCATTTAAAAAAAAATCAAAATATATACAGGTCTAAGTGAATTTCCTTAGTGCCTTTGTAGACTACCAAAAAGCCTTTGATAGCATCGAAACCTGGTCATTTCTAGCTGCAATGGAGGCCGCGAGAATCGATTCCAGATAGTATTCCATTATTAAAAATATCTATGATAGTGCAACATTTCAAGTTAAATTAGATGATGACCTCAAAACAGAAAAATACCACTCGGCAAGGGCGTGAGACAAGGAGGTAGCATCTCCCA